TGGCGTCTTTGAAGTGCTCGGACCGTCGTGAGCACGCCTCTCACGTTCTCGTCAAAACCCGCTGACATTTCTAGTATATATCTTAGTAATTTTACTAATATTTTGATTTGATTTCTTGCGCCATTTCAAGAGAAAACTTCAGGGAAACATGCATGTCTGAAAAAGTTGCGCTGAAATAACTGAATTCCCCGTAATCGCTAATAAACTTGAATGTCCCACGAGAGGGGACATCCGAGTGATATGCTAGAATTACGATGTCCCACGAGAGGGGACAGCGGAGTGCAAAGGGTTAACACTGCCTTAACCGTTTGAACGAATGAAAGCCATATATTGTTTAACCACGTAACGCTTTGCACTCGAGTGGTGACTCTGAGGCAGCATTCAAATTGTTGCATCGCGTTTCAAGGTAACTTTTACATTATAAAAGTCTAGACGTAAAAAAATTGTTAAAAGTCTAACTGTTGTACGAGTCGCGAGACTATAAATTTCATACGCATAAAATGCACTTTCTCATATAAAATGGAAACACCATAAGTCAGAAAAATTAATCTAGATTTACAGTTAAAACGGCTTCGAGTGCAAAGGATTAATAGCTGCGTCGATCTGCTTTTAAGATCGATATTGTATGCGTTTCATCGATCGCACTGGGTGCAGTTTCTTTCGACAAGTTGTTCTACGATTGTTCTAAAATGTACGAAATTTATAAATATGTTTCACAAGCATTTTAACTTAAATCGTAGGAGAAGTATGTTTGTTATAAGGACATCCGAGTGATATGCTAGAATTACGATGTCCCACGAGAGGGGACGGCGGAGTGCAAAGGGTTAAAGCAAATAGCTCGCACTAAGTTGCCCTAAAATGAAATTATACCGTCTGTTGGTTCGGCAAGCGAGCGATGCATTGTTCGACGGTAATTCGCCATTGTCTTTTCTGTTTGCTCTGCTGTAGCGCATTGATGAAATCATGTGCGTCGTCATGCGAGCATTAGCATTTGGCAAGGACGAATTAGAAACGTTGGACCTCCCCATTTACTGTTCTTACTTATCGAAATCTCGTTACGAACCGAACCGTCGTTTCGTTTGTTTATTTATGTCCCCGATCAATAAGCAACCGTCAAAGTTGCATTAATTTAAAAGTGAAATTATCGGGTACTAGACTTGAACAGCAACTATTAATTTATTCAATTGGACTAAAAAGACGGTAGATTACTATGTCAATAATTTTGTTCTGCGTCGACTAAAAACGCTTATTAACCACGAGGTATGAAGAATTTTCGGTTTCGATGAACTTTTCTACAAAACCAGGATGAATGAAAGATAGTACATAATGGAGGAATAAAAATTCGTGGATGGCGACGGAAATGTGATCAAAGTTACTAAAAGTGTCGAAGGAAGATCATCGAATGGCATCGAATCTGCAAATGTGAATCGTTGTCGAATAAATTCATACCTTTAGAAACTACTACGCAGCAATTGGCAATTTCGAAGCAATCTTATTTGCGAGAAAACAGTCGGCAACATTGGATCGTATTCAAACTGTCGTTAAACAGAAAACATAAACGAACAAGTCCCTGATCCTTCCAAACGACTTTGTTCAAGTTCCAAGAATGGGGAAGAGAAAAATGACCTTGGGGATGCCAGTTTTCTATTAAAATCTTTATTTTCTGTTTTTCGTAGCGTTCTTCTAAATAATAATTAAACGTAACTTAATGAAAAAATCGCGGCATGAGAGAGAGAGAGAGAGAACGATAGAGAGAGAGAGAGAGAGAGAGAGAGAGAGAGAGAGAAGAGAGGAAGAGAGAGAGACAGAGACAGAGCAAGCAAGAAAGACAGAGAGGAAAAGTATAAATGTCGTTACACTAGAATCATTCGAAAGTCACTGAAATCGCGTAAACGGTACGATGTACTATGCGTGGTCAGATTTAAGACACGTAGAATCACCTTAAGATTAATAGATCGACGATAATGGGAACGAAGCAATCAGCCAAAATCGATCGATTAGCGATCTCGGTTAATTAACTGGTTGGATACATAGGTGGATACAGTGGACAAGGTAAGCCGAGTTTACAGATTTCGACTCGAAGAACGTCGTTCGTATAAAAAATGGACAGAAAAGCCGTGCCGTTAAAGTTTGCCGGGACTCGAAAAGAAAAACGCACGTAAACGGAAAAAAAGACGGCGTGGGTGTGTGATTTCTCTCTGTTCAAGGCGAGCGAAATCGATGGAAACGACAACAGGGTTTGATCCAATGATATTTATTCCATCGTTACAATCGATTGAAAAGTGAGAGAAAAAAAGAAAAAGAAACGACAGTCACTCGAGAAACTTAATATTTCGACTTTATTTCGAACGAGATCATCTGTCAATGATTCTACAAAAAAAAACGGTTTTCCTCCGCTTTTAGTCGTCACCAGATACTGTCGTATCTAGGACAAGAGATCCCGTCCATTTCTGACTAAAAGGATCATTCGTCTCGATGCCATTTTCGATAGAAACGACGCTCTCTCTCCTTGCCAGTCTTCGTCAAAAAAAAAGTATTACAATAAGAGACTTAAGCGATGCCATATACATAACATGATACAGAAAGTTCGTTTCAACTATGTTCACTGACTGTGGATGGACGATCGAAGACGGCGCGGCGGTCGCAAACGGAACCGTGACAATCGATCTTACGACGACGATACGATACAACAACAAAAAACTACCCTCCCCCGCGAACTCCGCGTATAAATTCATTGATCCGTTTCCCCTCCTTATCGATTACACGCTTCCGGTACCGCCTATATCACACGGGATCACCGATCGACAACGATTAGATTGATTCATTCGAGTAAACCGTGCATAAGCGCACTTTGTTTCGATCGATCCACCAAATATCTTTCGATCAGAGCAACGCGGATTCTACGCGGTTGCAGAGATTTCCGTTCGTAGACTCTCGTGTATTGTCTTGAAATATTTGGCGGGTTCCTCGGATCATTTGAAGCAACTTCTTCCTTTGCACAAATGTTCTCCGAGGCACCGTTAACGAGTTATCAACGAAAAACAGTGCGCCAATAAGAATCGAGTACGGCTGACGCGAGGCGGCCCGGCCAACCAGCGCACGAAGCCTAGTTCCGCTCATCGGCTCGATCGCCTCGCGCCAGCCGAGCTCGCCTCTCATTGGTCACTGTTTTTCGTTAATAACTCGTTAACGGTGCCTCGGAGAACATTTTTGTAAAGGAAAAAGTTGCTTCAAATGGCCCGAGGAACCCGCCGCTTTCGGATCGCGAGACATTTTTGGAACATCCTGTATATACAGTATCAGTCCAGAGAAATAGCTTCGCGCAGAATTCAGCCGTGCCTAAAAGGTTAATCACTTGTCGAGTCGCATTGAAATTTCTCACAAAAATGCGCCTTAACGCTAAGCTCGCCGAGCCGGTTTCGTGTTTTCTTTTGAAATTGCTGATATTATAAAGATTCTCCGTTCGTAAAAAATGATCGAATAAATTTGTTAATCCAAGCATCCGTTATAAGAAAAATAGCGAAAGTCTAACTAAATACGGTCTCCTCATTTTTTCACAAGTGGCACAAGGCTTAGCGATAATCGGCACAGATTCGCGTAACGTCGAATCAGTAAAAATGAAAATTGTCGTGAAAGTGAAAATTTCTAGGAAAATGAAGCGATAACGTTCGTCGTTGCTTCATTTTCACCGGAATCGGACCGTTGCCGCCGAGAAATTAGATTTCTCGTTGACCCCCGTCCCAGACGCGAGTAAAATCATTCCGTATAAAATGGACCGCGGTGTCTCTAATTGATTCGTAGTTCCGTCGATATTTGGAGGATCGATCGAGAGAATGGATCACCCTGCGGTAGCCGCGAAACGAACCGTCTCTCTCCGCCGCAAGGTGCTAAACTGAAGAGACACTCTAAACGAACTCACAGAGCTATTTTTGCCACAAATACAATCGGAAAAGCCTGAGCGTGTTGTCCCGGTGTGTGTGTGTGTGTGTGTGTGTTCGCTCGCCGCGGTCAGTCGCGATTTCGGGTTTCTTTCACGGCGTCGCATCGCATCGCATCGCATCGCGTCGCATCGCATCGCATCGGATCGTATCGATAAGAAAAACGGTGAGAGCTTGAATGCGTGTACCAGGCCGATTGCGTTCGCGTCACTCCGTTCGAAATCAGAATGGCGAGACCAGCGATGTCGCGTCTCTATTGACGATCGCGCGAAGGCGAGAGGAATTGATTAGAATTAATTAGCGACATGGAAGAGGGAACGCGGACGTTCCTACGTTTTTTTTCTTTTTTTTTTCTTTCTTTTTTTTTTAATCAGTCTTGAAACATCGAGAGTCCACTGTAAATCATCGTGAAAAGTCGAAAGTTCGTTAAGCTTATCGCGCGCAAATCTTAAGTTCGTCGTCAATCAAAAGCGAACTCGTCGGAATCGTTCGATTGTTCCTCGGAGAAGTCAGCGATCGACTGAATCTCTCACTTGCCGTCGGTCTTTTCTTTCTTTCTTTCTTTTTTTTCTTGTTTTCGTTTTTCTTTTTACATCGTCACGGATCGAAAGGGGTGCCTCGATCCGTTGTGGAATGAACGGGGGGGGGGGCGCGCGCGCGCGCAATTCTCCCCAAGTTCCGTCGAAAAATCGCGAGCGGATGCAAAGAGCGAGGGGAATTTCTGTCGCGGCCGTTGCTAAGACAAATGAAAACCACCGAAGCCCAGATATTTGGTTGAATGTTCTTTATTGAATTGTCGACATAGCATTGGATAAAAAATACTCGATCGTTCGTTCGAATTTCCACGCGAGAAATTCCCGTTACTTTTGCATCTACGTATGTATATCATCCTTTCGTTCAACAGCTGAGAAATACGTGTTTCGCATTCGCTTTGTTTGCCTGTCCTCGGCTTCTCATTCAGTGCGTCGAATTGAAATCGAATGGAGAACGGAAACGAAAGAAGAAGAAGAAAAAAACAAATCCGACGGAGAGAGAAGAAAGTGAGAAACATAGGGGAACGTTCGAACGTTTTTCATTTTGTAAAACGGGTCGACTACTAACGATATTTGTAGCAAAAATATACAGGCCACACGGCTGCTTACAATATTAGTCGCTTCGCGAGTTCTTCGAAGAAAAAAGGAAAGATGACAACAAACTTAACCGTGTACACGAGAGATATAACGAAAGCTTCTCCGATCTTTTCTTCTCTTCTTTTTTCATCGGTTGCGCGCGGCTTGACAAAGAACATATAACGATCGACGACGTCGAACAACCGGCACTTCGTCAGTGTCAGTCGGACGGGGCTGTACAAATCATCGATGTCCGCTGACAGTGAGTTCTCGTTGATTGTACACCTACGCTTATAAGAATCTAGACAATTGTTTCTCGTCGTCGTTTGTTACACGATGACGATGCTCGCGCGAATGTCGCCAAGAGAAAAGAGAAAGAAACGATTTTCTCGCGTTCTCATTTTGTTGTTTCCTTTTTTGTAATTACGCCGCGAACAAAAACTATAGACCCATGCTGCTCCGCTCGATTCGTTTCGATAATTAGAATTACGGATGCATCGTACAGACGTTACCGCCGATATAACATATGTATCGATTCATCCTCGTACGCTTGGTTGCCAATGTTCTTCGCTCCTTGACCTCGATATTCACGATCGAACTTCGGTTTCTATTTCTTCATATTCTGTGCAACGAGAAAATCAAAAATTGTAAAACGGACCGTGCTTCTCCGACTCACCATTCCTCGGCGAAACGCGGTTCAAGCATCGTCGCCGATCAAGCTGCTCGGGGATCCCATTCTCGACGATCGATTTACGTCGCCCACTTTGTGGCCACGTCGACGATGACGAAAATGCTGTAATCCGTCTCTCTTTCTCTCTCTCTCTCTCTCTCAAAGTGGGCGATACGTTCTGTCCAAAGGCGACCCCGAGGAGCCTAATCAGCCTGAGGTTGAACAACGTTTCCGCGAGAACGGCAAGCCTCTGATATACGGTCCTCTTTAAGCTTTCCCTCCTTTCGTCTAGTAGAATACATAGAAATGCAAACGAAAATTGAATTCCAAGCGACCAATTTCGCTCTGTAAAGTCACAGTGGCTCACGGAGCACATACAGCGATTTTCCAAGTATCAATAGGAAGCTTTCCTCGTCATCATCGATCCGACGTTGGATCCGTTCGTTAGATCGTGATCTGCTCGCGCGAACGGACCCGCGTAACTCGCAACCACCGATAAGAGAAGACCTCCGATTCAACACAGTATCAAAGCACAGCATTTACTCGGTGTTTAAGAAGACGGAACACAATTTTTTTCACATTTAGTTTTGCTACATCGAAACAATCTGGTCTAGCATAAGCATCTACCATAGGAGATACACGTGACATCTGTTTTCTTTCCCCGTTCTATATAACATAATTGGAAAAAAGAAACAAATATAGTAGAGCCGTTTCAGGCTCGTCGCTTATATATCCCACTTTACGTTAACAAATGATACGCCCCGATTTCGTGACGAAAACTTTCCAGAGATACGATCGGATTTACTGTATCTTCTCGCGTCGGCGAGACACATGTTCTCTAAGAGCAAATATAGTCGTTCGTCGACTGTGGTTTTTCTATTTTAATACTTTATGGTTCGCCGATGTTCAACGGTTTCACGTTCGCGTACGAAGACGAAACCACGAGGAACGGAATATGTATGTATAATATTATATACAAGAATCGGACCATGTATATGAATATGCATATATGTATGCATGGAGATGTGTGTACGTCCGTATTGTGAATAAATTTGCCTCGTGTATGCGTGTGTATGTTTGTGTGTGTGTATGTACGTACGTACGTGTGTGTGTGTGTGTGTGTGTGTGTGTGTGTGTGTGTGTGTGTGTGTGTGTGTGTGTATGCACGAAACAAGTCGTTCAAACATTCTGGACGTGGAGTCTAATGATGTCTCCAAGCCGACCAACCGAAGATCGTTACGAAAACTTAGAAATTCGTTCGTTTCCTTCTTACGTACGCATAAGCGACAAGTTAAGCCACCCCGACATCGCGAGAATCGATCTCTATCAGCAACTAGGACAAAGAAGACATCGAGTCCAAAAGAAAACTCAACAATGTTGATAATACCGAAACAAAAACGGGAAACAAAAGTCGTTCGTAGAAGACAAGAAACGTTATAGTAGGCTCTGGAACAAATAGTATAGCGACATTCTACATTACCCATTCAAATTGCCTGTCAAAGCGATACCCTTCACTTTATTCATGAAATGTCAACATCCTATATTCGGTAGCTATGTATACGACTTGGCATATGATATAGCATTTAACGAAGTCGCTACAATTGTTCCAAATAAATACAGAGATGAGCAATTCCTAGACCCTAAATAATTTTCCACATTTATCAGATCTTACGAAATAGTTCAAAGATTTTCATTAAAAAAATAGAGTATTTTATTTTCTATTTTCTTCTCTCGAAAGGTTTTCGTTAATCGGTGTGTGTGTGTGTGTGTGTGTTTAATCAGTATTTATTTTAATATATTTAGATATTTATCTCCATAGAATTTTTGCTCTTCGAACAGATCCGGGCAATTTTTAATTTGCCCAAAACTGCATGTTAAATGTTGCATCAACGTGCAAATATAATAAATCTAACGAAAATGTACTTATACACGTTTCTGATTTCAGTCTAGCTATTTGCAGATCTCTGTATGCATAAATAATCGTTCGAACATCGAAAATATATATGCAACAATAATACGCATAATACTAATTTGTCAAAAGCACTCGTCCTGCGATCCTAATTGTTTTGCTAATCTTGTAATTGTCCCCTTTATCTCGTTTATTTAACTGGCCACGGTGGACTCCAGTTGAATTCAATTTTCTTGACATTTCAATGCTGAGACATACGTATAAATAAAATCGAATTGCAAATCATATGTCACAATGTATATATATATATTATATGTATATATATATATATATATATATATATATATATATATATATATATATATATATATATACATATATATATATGCGTATATAGGGTACTAGCAAAATTTCACTTTGAGCGTATACCCAACATACAGACTAAACATTTTATCATGTGGACCACCTGCACATCAATCATTCGTCAAAACGATACAACAAAATCGTGGATCGTGCTAAACGAGTCACACAACCAAAACTAACTCTTCGTTCTTTTATCTTTTTCTCTTAGACTTTTAAGACTCATTGGACTCTAAAGAGCACTTCTTTTTTTTTTGAGACGTCGATATACGCGTGTATGTACAACTATACAACCCTTATCTATATTTTCTTCAGTTACGTTAGGGAAATATATACTACCTAATATTGCTATATGACTCCTATATGTATAAATACGATCGAAAAAGTTGAAGCGGGACCATTGGAAAGTTCGAATGTAATCCAAGTGAACTGCTCGCAATTACACACAAATAAATTACGGTATATAGACTGTAAAAGGTGCTTATTCATTATCGTAATTAACACTGCAAGAATGGTTACTTAAAACATATGAAAAAAAAGGTTTTTTTTTACAAAAGAAAATGTAGAATATCTTTGATCAGATGAAAGAAATTTGTATGGAGTTAAAAGGTATTTCGGATATTTGCACGGTGCATAGAATTTGAAGAAAATTAGCTAGCAATATTCTTATACCCTCTAGAGCCTCTTAATTATAAACTGCAAGGTTAACGTTCAGAGAATTATGTCTTATATCAAGGTACTTGTTGAATGACGGTTTGGTTGTGTGCTCGTTTACATGGCCGAATAATGTCGCGTCAATGAGTGGAACCATGGTCGACTAATACAAAAGATGATAACAAAGTTCGCAAATTTACCTCCAGAAACATCTCTATTCTCGCAGTTCATATTTTCTTTTTTTTTTTTCTAATCCGCTTTATTGGCTACCGTTTAACAAATGTATAAACCGAAACAACTTACGTTCACGAATTGCACGATGAATGAATAAAAATTAAAATTATAATAAAGATAGAATATGGGAACGAATGAAAGCTCACAATGATAAAAAACATTTAGAAAAATTCTCAATATAACTATCTAAGATGCTAACCGTCGTGTCCCCCCTGTTGAAAAGACAGGAAGCACAGATTGCGCAAACGCATCTCGCAGAATGTTTCGTTCGTTTTTAACACTGTTTCGTACGTACGTACAGCATAGAATGTGTACTCTCGCGTAAGAAGAAAGAAAAGAAAGTACTAAGATTAAATGTTATTTGGAATAATCACGGATCTTAGTTAATTCCGAACGTTGGAATCAATTCCAGATAAAAAAAAGAGAAAAAGAAACGATCATTGTCTCACATTCACAAATGCGATTGACGATCTAATCACTAATTACTGAAAAATCTATGCATATGGAACCAAACACTTCACTGTTTGCTCGGCAGCCTTCTCAGCCATCAAAGGAATTATGCGTTAGATTAATTCAGTATCTTAAGTTACCTAGTTAATGTTGTGTTTTTGTGTATTAAATCATTATCGTAACAATTATTTGTTGGGCACACACCGAATTAAAGTCTCAGCTGTAAGCACGCGTCAAACTTTTCTTTTTTCGTGATTCCTGTTCATTAGCCATCCTCTTTTGGAGGGGTAAACCAACCTATAACAAATATTTTATTATAATACGGCTTATAGTTTCAAGAAACTACGTTTCACTGGAGTTTCAGAAAAAATTTTTCACCGGATGTTCTACTAGAATAAGAATTTAAATATATTGTCATTGAAATTACAAACTTACCATTTTTTTCGTGTATTTGTACAAGAGACTTGAATGATTGTTGTGCACGAGCTAGACTGTACTGGCCTTGACCACCGCATACTTTGCCAGCACCTCCAGATCCTTGAAACTGTATACGTGCTTTCCCCTTTACCAATGTTGCCGAAATTTGCATGATGACGGCTTCTACTGTATACGCTGAACTCCAACCTTGTTTTGTTAGAAGTTCCATGCAAATAGCGCCTCCTATAAGGACATATCCACCAGAAATCATGGGATGAACAACTCTGACAAATGGGGGCTCGAATGGATAAGTTTCCTGTAACAATAGAAACTGGAAATGAGCTTTCGTATCCTAAATATTTAGCATCCGCTACCATTAGAATCTAATTATTTAATATTGAAACAAAATGTGACAGTAACTTTTAATAAATGAGTTACCTTGAAAAGCATGTTGAGGAGAATACTATCTTTGCCTTCTTTTTCTTTTAGTAGTATGAGATCACTGTGTAATGGTGAATCAGGATCAACACACATCAGCCTGATATTCCATTCATACAAACTGTCATTTACTAATTCTATGCTGTACATTCCTGGAAACAGTTCGAAGAATATACTTAAATAAATTAAACCGTACATCAAATTTATACCACAAAAAAAAGATTCAATTTAAAGTGATACCTTTCTTGAAACTGTCGCTTCTGTAAATGTCACGTAACTCTTTCATGAGTCTGTCTGTGGCCTGTACGCTTCCGCAAGGTGAACCTTTTAAGTAGTCTTGTCTTTGATTTTGTCTCAACCTTTCTAATGTCGCCAAATGTTCCAGATCCATCTCTTCACCCTATAAAATTTTCATAAATACGGATGCAAATACATCGATAAAACAAAATGTAAATTTAACATAACCATAGAATATAGCTATTTCAATATAAAAACAATAATTGTATATTTAGTATTCTCCCAGTGTTTACCTTACTCTTGGCATTTGCATCTCCCTCATCCATATCTAAATGAAGGTCTTCTTCAGTCTCACTTTCTTCATCTTCATCAATGTCTTCGACATCGTCAGCTTCCATCCTTTGCGCAACCGTTTCATTTGTTCCTCCCAAACGCAATGGATCCAAAGCTGTTCTTAATCGTTCAACATCAGGTGGTTCCGGTAATGAATGAAGTCTACATAATTCTTTCAAGAGAATCCCGACTTGATTAATGACGTGGTTGTCACGGCCGGTTGTATTACTTAAAATTTGTACCGCATTTGTGACACTAGTCTCCTCAGATTCTGCAAACCAGACTGGTGGTGTAGACGGGTAGGTTTCCTGTAAAACATTGATTAAAACTTTTGTAATCATCTTAAAATATCAAAAACATAGTCGAATACTGTAATTCAGAATGTTATTATTTCATACGTACATGGGATAACAATTACAGTTTAAGATTTCAAATATGTTCTAAAATTAATAACATTAAGCACATAGTAGATTTTCTTATAGTCACTTATAGCCAGTATAATCCATTACTTACAGTTTTCTTATAGTCACAATTGCTATTCAATTGCAATCTGACACATTGATTTTTTGTTCAAGATATATATTTACCAGATATTCATTAAAAGTATATATTTGTTTCATAGTGTACATTTTACATTGTCACTTCTTACTAATAATTAATTTTGTAATTTTATAGTAATTGCAATATCGAAGATGAAATAGAAAGAGCATTCATTGAAATTTAAAAAAGTGAAATATAAAAATCTCAATTAATGCATGAAATGAATGTCACTAAATATAAACAATTTAAAAACCTTATGATTATTTAAATGTTAGAAATTCATATTAGATAAACATTATACAATGAATGTTTATCTATTTATAAAAAATGTTTATATTACGTTTACATGTAGTTTTTATCAATAACCGCAATTAATCGTAATGTCAATGACACGGACCGGATCGTAAATTAATTTGTAATGTGAAGCAGTCGCTTACTGTTATACAGAAGGCAAAAATCGGATAAAGATTATCGATTTTGCTAACAGTCGAATAAACAAAATGTAAATAGTAACGCAAGCAATCAATATCCGCGAATTAAGCCCACGCGATCAGTCTTTGTTCCGCTTCATGTTATACGAAAAATACAATAATTTTGGTAACCTTCATCTTTTATCAAATTTTTATCTAGAATTTATCGAATCGAATTTAAAACGAAACTATAGTTACCGTATTATACTTCTATATGTATGCAACTTTGTGTCACAATGTATGCAACAAAATAAACAAAATAAACAAAATAAAAACATGGAAAGCAATTTTTTATACACGTGATATATTTCCGTACTCACAATTTCATAATAAATTTCAAGCTCCAATACAATCAAACATTTCAAATTATTAATCGCAAACCACATATATGAAATAAACAATATACATGTATCGTTTAATTTCGTAATAATATAATATACGACTACGTATATCTACGTATTTAATCTATAATAAATACGTATGCATAAGTTTATTTCGTTTCACTATTTAAAGAACAAGCAAAGATCACTCCATGATAATCGACGATTATTTCGCATTGAAAGCAACGGTAATGGCAACGGTAAGAACAACGCAAATGGATATTGTTCATTGGAATCTAGTTTATCTATCAAAATTATCTTGTGTACGCGAGAAACAAATAATTTCGCGCAAATATAATAGAACTGTCTCTGAATGGTTTGTGAAATGTAAACGAACAAAGTTTTTTTTTTCCTTAGTCTGTAAGTACAAATGAAGAGAAACAGGTACTATTATGAGGGACTTACCCTCTATTTGTGGCATACATTGACCTCTACCGCAATATTAATTCGTCTGAAAATCTCGTCGGAAACAAACTGATTGAAGTGTAAAAGAATCGATAGTATCTAGAACGAGATCCACTAAACGACACCAAAAAAACTGTGATGGGAAAAGCGTGCATGGTGGGTACACGGTGTACGTGCTGCCCGGGCATGGCTCTTGTCAAAAGGCCCAAATAATAACACGAGTGTTATTGTTTCTTTGTCCGATCGGACGCAGACAGCGATGAGGAGTTAACGTGGTCCCATGCGAACGGAAAAACGCTGGCGATCGTTTCGAATCGATTCATTCGTCTCAAATCGTTACCATGCGTGTTACACTTACTGTAATATTGGCGTGTATTTCGTATTTCTTCCCATTTTTACCGACGAACCTGCAGCTGAGTTCGTCCACACTCGCAGACATTATCTGAAATCTCTCATGGCTCTTAGGGAAGACGGACTCAAGAGTTTTGATCTCCTGTTTAAGGGTGTTCAGACAAGCCATTTGGGGGAGCGTACGAGTATGCCGTACCCCAAATTTTTCGGCGGTGCTTGCCCCAAAAAACACAGCGACCCGAAAGAAACACGACGTACCCGATGACTACCCGAGAAAATGGCGACCGCGACTGATCGCTTCGGCCAGTCTCGTGAAATTTCGTTCGCCACCGTCACAGATGCCAGCACTGAACAATTCAAATATACATGACGTCCTTCCGGTCCAGCTGAGTGCGGTTGAATATCTCGAAGCATTTAAAAACTGAATTTCCAAAACTTGTTTAAACTCTTCGCGGTCGAAGTTCGGACTATGTTTAGTAATGCTAACTCCAACTTATTATTAAAAAAAAAAACATTTGAAAAGGTAACAAATAAACAGCAATGTCTTTACTTATTGGTAAATCATCTAGTCCAATCAATTACCGTTTAGTTGTTAAGTAGTCGTCAAATCTTGCTTTCAATTCAATAAGATAAATGCTGTTTTAAATTGCAATATTTGTTGCTCGATAATATCAGTCTGTTCGAAAATTCTGAAAATCTTCAATTAAAAGACCGTTATACAAAAAATAATCAACACTTTATTAATTATATCATGAATTTATTTGAAATGTCTAGTACTTCTAACTCTTATGATCTATATGTACAGATGATAATGTGGTAAAGTATAATACACGCATTATTATTTTAACATGTGTTAACAAATAAATGCTCTAATCTAACATACTAAAAATAATTAAGTTTTAATTTTTTGGACTGGGCCCACAGATCACCATGTCTCTCTTTTATTCTTTTATTTTTGAGACACACTACGAGCAATACATTATTCTACTTGCTCTTGTATTATTAGAGCGTAATTAGTAATGTACAGTATCGTGTGTACTGGAATTATTACTAAAATAATTCAAGAAATTCTTCGAACTTGAATATTCATTGACGAACTCACATTTGTGTATTACGTTCACATTCTGTTTTACAATACACTTCTCCTCCGTTTCTCGTTCATAAAAATATTGTATTTACCTATTTATAACAACGCATATGCGATAATGCAATACAAGAACAACATCAACGCAATCAACTTCAGTGGTAATTTATTTTGTTTATTAAACAAAGTAAAGTATCTACAATAATATACCTACGCCTGTGAAACCAAGCGATTATCGTTAAATGATTATCGGTTCGTACCTCTCGATAATTGATTCGACCAAAATATAAGAAACTATAATTTGGCAGGCTGTTTAAATGCAAAACATTAAATATTTATTTTAATATTTTTGCACAAATCCCCTCGTTGAATACTTTTTGTGTAGGAATTTCTTGTGTTATTTTTTCTCTTCTTTTTATTTTTTTTTTGTTTCCCTCTATCAACATAGGAAAAGAGTAGACACCAGTCCATGGTATATAGAGTCTTTTCAATGGCAATAGAATCTTTGAAAGTTATGATATGACTAAATGTAATTTATAAATAACAAAATATACCATTTCCACCGTAACAGGATGCCTAAGCCTTTCTTATATATGGAAAATCCATGATGGTCAACATTAATTTATCACTATAATTATTTCCATACATATATACATACAGACCTTTCCTTGCATATACACACTTAGCTTCTTTTATGTAAATAGTAATAGCGAATGTGAAAGTTAATCAGTCAGTAATACTAATTTAAGCCTCTTTTCTGAGGGCAGGACCAGTTGAAACCGTGTACTTATACGTCGTATTGGATTTCACTTTTATTAATTAGTCGTACCCTACTTGTTTATTTTCCCCCGAAGTGAATATAAAAAATTATATTAAATAATCGCTTCCAAATGATTTCACATTTCAAGATAAAAAAGATCGAAATCTTTTTCTCATATAAAAAAGACTATTCAATAGGGCGATACTATTAGGGAGCCAGGATATTCGTGAACGGCGTCCACAGCGTGCGCGAAAAATCAGACGATAGAATTCGCTTTACAATGTATAAGGTTCGAGGTCGCAAATTAACAATTTCTTGCCAACATCGAACTCGGATATGATATGTCCTAACTTGGACGCGGCTGTAAATTCATACGAGACGGCAAGTTTGCGCATCTGCTAGAGACGAGGCTATAGGTTAACGTGAACGCGCTGTTAGAGGAAGCTTTATCCAAAACGTCCAAAATTTCACACTGAGGGATGCGAACCAACAAATATGATATTTAGAATTGTTAAATTAATTGAAGTCACTTTTAACCATTCGCAGAAGTAAAAAGTGATAATGTAGTTGAGTAGTAAAAAGTGAAGAAGAAAGGCAAGAAGGCAAATTCTGAATTAGTTGATTGCCTTAACTAGAAAGTTAAAAGGCTGAAAAAAAATTGAGATATTTACAAATTTGACGTAGCAGACGAGATTCCTCCAATAGCGAAACTATCGTTGAAGGATTTTTAAACGGAAGACCATCTAGGCGGTTTTATAAAATCTACGATCTGTCAGTTTTGCAGACTTACAAGTAGTTTTCCGCCGTTTTCTATTTCGAGAAATTCACGAATAATTACAGATTTTTCTTTGTGCAAATGAGAGTCTTTTAAAAAAGATCAATATTAAAAATTAACATTCATGAGATATGTTTGCCATTGATAAATACTTAGCAAGCATGGAATCCGTTAATATTAACTGAACTATGAAAACAGTTTTCAACTCTGTATAAACAAATCTTCAACTACAAATTTGTTAGAAAATTAACAATACTTTATTAAGCGTAACGTAAAGGAACAGTATGATCTAATAAAAGTAAAAGAAAATTAATTAATCGCTTACGTTTTCTGGAATGATTGTACTTGTAATACATATCTCATTGATTGTTAATATGTGTCATGTTCTTAACGGTATCCTAAGCTGCGTTTTTATGCATACAATATTTACACGCTGACAATATCAGAACAAAATTAGCTGCATCGCTGTGTACGGTGATCTCGACAATTGAACTTTAGAAAATAGAATTTTCCAACATTCAAAATTGATAATGTTTTAAATACTAGGTTTGGCTAAACTTGCGTCAAACATTACGTCAATTAAATCATTGTTGTGAATTAGTAACATTTTTAAAATTATTTTGCAGCTAGTTATCAGGATACATATTAGCAATAGCTAGGAACTTGAAGAAGCATTACTTCCATTTCGTTAAATATACAAATGCCAAATTTCTTTTGATATCCGTTCAACATGGAAAGTAGGTGAATTTTAAACAATATACCTACTCCACTTTATCTCCATCAATGAATCGCATATCAGCACTTTCTTTCTCCGAATCACATATTAATATTAAAACTTTCATTTTATTTACAAAGAAATACTAAATGTGTAAGTTACTCTGCAGCAGAGGTAGAAAAATTAATTGAAATTAGAAAATGAGGAATGATTTTATCGACAGTTACGATGTATTTTCTGTTTTTGCCTTCATTTTGCTTCGAAATTCTTAGTTTAAAACGAAATATCAAAGAAATGTGTTGTTAATTTTAATATAAAAAAATGTTCGAATTGCCAACTGTGCAACACTAGTTTTATACATCTCAGTTTTATTTACAAGCAGACTTTCGTCTCAATAGATACACTTTGGAGAAAGAAGTAGCTCACAGTGTGTCACAGATTCCTTGCATATAAAAGGTAATCCTTCGGTTTCGTGCACTCTTTCTGGCACATGACGTCAATATAGATTCATCTGTGTTTTATGTTTCCTCAAAGCAGGTAATGCTGTTTTGTTACACATGAGTCAAAGTGATCGGCTTTATTAAAATGCCGAATGATAATAGTCATAAGTAGGCCAGTAAGGCTGTAGCCAGTCCTAGCTGGTGCGTTGCCGCTTTTTGGCTGGGTGTTCCTCTGAAGAATGTGCCGGCGCCGGCATTGCCACGTCTCCTCTATGGATGAACATATACTTCAACTGGGGCATGTATTTCATTATACTTTTTACTTGTATCAATGGTACTTCGTCGCGAAAAGTTGAACATTTTCCTGCTACCATTAACATTTTCATTTGTAACCTTCAATGAAAAGATTTGAAATTAATAGATATCATCTTCCACGATATAATAGAATAATAATAAAATAATTTTACCTATTTCCTTGATATAAATCTATGTGTAAGACATCCGTAAGAACTTGCCGACAACTATCGATGTCACAGGCAGGAAAATAATGGGCAACGAAGTCAGGAAGCGTCATCAACAATTCAGAGTAGATATATGGCTTGAAATTAATACATGGTACCATTTTATCTTCGACAAGTGCTTTCTGAATTTTATAAGGTTGAACTTGACAGGGAGATATATGTGTTTCTGGGATTGGTATTAATGGTTTTCTACCCCTAGAATCTCTGTAAATACATATTTAAAAATGATATACTCGAACGTATGAATTATAGACTTATTAATAGAGGTATGTAATAACATACCTGGCACTATTATTGCTACCATTAACTGGTATTAATGGTGGTGGATACTTTGCATGAGATGTGTTATGTACAGATGGTGTATGACTTTGTGGATGTAATAATGTGGATGCTGATGTAGGTGATGGCATTAGAGCTTGTACTTGTTCGCTTAGACCAAGCATTTGAGGGTATGTACTTGCAGTGACAGCATTAGGTACACCTAAAGAAGGTGTGGTATACGTAGATGTAACCCTAAAATAGAAAAATGTCTTGTTAAGATGTATAAAAATGTAAAAAATAATTCTAGATAAACTAATTTGTCATACTTGGGAAACATGAAATATGTAACAATAGTTGTATATATTTCATTATAATATATATATATATTTTTAAAAAAGAATATATAGAAGCAAAAAAGATACATACACAAATATATACATTAAGTATTCAATTCTAAATACATTAGACTCCCTACAAAATGTATACATTGATCTATGTAATAGTACTAATAAAAACGTTGACGTAATAGTATCACTTTATATAGATTTCT